CTTTTTTGTTTGTGCAGATATTCCTGCTCGGGAAACAGCTCCTCCCCCTCGGTCGCTGGTGAACTTTGCCGACCTAATCACGGTTTGGAGATTCACGGGTGACAACGGTTTTGGCCGGGCCGCCCACATCCTGCTGAATTATACCCCAGGGTATAAGAAATTTTCTCAGCTTCCTCAGCCTTTTGATCCTTCGCGGTGGTCTGAACTCTTCGATCAGGCGGCGAGGTTAGAGGTTGAGGAAAACTTGGAGGAAGACCCGGATCGGGCTTCGGAGGCAGAGGTAGAGGGAGTTGCTGAAGAGCTCGGGGTCAGAGAGGACGTTGTTCCTTCGGACGCCGAGGTGGGGACTTCGGGAGGAGACTTGTGGCCAGACTTCCAAGTTCTTCAATCCTTAGACGCCGAGGACGCCCTAGAGGTCGCGATGTCCAGCACGCCTCGCATCGACCTGGGGTTCCTGAGGCAGAGGCAAGCCCTTGCAGCCGGGAGGGGTCGTGGATCGACCGGCGGCGCTTCATCTGCGGGGACCAACTCCGCCCCACCCTCAAGAGCTCTCAGTCGGGGCCAAGTGCGTGACCGGGATCCTCAGGTAGAGGAGGAAAGAAGGGTCAAGCATCGGCACGATGGCCTCGGCCGGGGATCCAGGGCACCTTCCACTCAGCAGCAAAGCGGGAGAGGCCGTGGGTTACCCCCTGCTCCTCCACAACAGTAGCAGCNCGGGATCCTCAAGTGGAGGAGGAGAGAAGGGTCAAACATCGGCATGATGGCCTCGGCCGAGGATTCAGGGCACCTTCCGCTCAGCAGCAAAGCGGGAGAGGTCGTGGGTTACCCCCTGCTCCTCCACAACAGTAGCAGCAGCAACAGCCACGACAACAGCAACAACAGCAGCAGCAGACTCCCCCTTCCCTTCCGCCGACAGTGGAGGCCGTGGAGTGGAATCCCCGAGCCACTGATCACATGAACCGAGTGACCAGGGTCGATGATTCCATTTTACTAGATCCTCATGTCGTCAATGCAGTGAGTGAAANTCCATCCCCTATTGGTTGTGACCTTTGTATTCCAATACGTTCTGACATTACTTGTGTAAGACGAGGTTATGATGAATAGCCTAGGCTAATGACCTGTACGTCAATAGCTTATCATAGAGTAGAGGAGGCGTCCTGGACGGTACACCTCGGCACCGAGGGAAGGATCATCTCGGTAGGGACACCGACCGAGGTACCATACCAGACTGAGGCCACGTGTCGGTGTAAAACATATTGAATGCATGATCCTATATGCCGAGTACCTCGGGGGAGAAGGCCTTGTGAGCCAGTGGTGCTTGATCTTAGTAACAGTGTTTTAGTAATACCGAGGACACGTGTCTTCATCATAGAGTATTTCAGAAAAGTCCTATCAACTGCCCCCCATCCTTCGATCTTCTGACACCGAGGGCACGCGTTGTAAGGAGACGAAGGGTTTCCCAACCACCACAGCTGCTTCATCATTACCTCGAGTCGCTTTCCCCGGCACTGGATGTCGTGCGCATTAAATGTGCCGTTTCGTTTTTCGCGCCCAATGATGAAAATTGCCTCTATATAAAGGGGGCTCCTCTTCCGTTTTCCTCGTTTTGCCATTCCGAACTTCCTCAAGAGAGTCTCTCCTTGAATCTTCGCCGGAGATTTGTTTTTTCTTCCATCGTCGATTGCCCATTCTTCCTTAAAGTCTTAAAGCCAGCAAACCCATCGTTGCTCCTGAACTTTCTGGAAGGAGTTGCTTTAAGGTTTTCCAGAAAAAAAAACTCCGTTTTGACATTCGGGTGAGTTCCGGTATCTTCCTTCTTTTCTTCCTCCTATCTTTTTGTTTTCCGATGACTGGAAGTGTCTCCGGTTGATACGTCGCGATTTAACCCTCGGGAAACTTCCTCAGGGATTTCCAAGAACAAATACCCTCTTTCTCACCTTTTTTTAGAGATGCCTCGTCGTCGCCCTGCTCCCGAGAATCCTCAGGCCGGTTCTTCGGGATCAGGGAAGTATAAGGTAAAGGGCGATGAGCAGATCAATAGGTTTAGGGCCAAGTACGACATTCCCCCGTGCGTAGACGTAGAGGATTATGACCCAGTGGTGCACTCTTCTACCCTCGAGGCCGAGGATGCCATGCCCTTCTATACTAAGGCCATAATAGAGGGAGGAATTAGGTTTCCTTTACCCCCCTTACTTCTTCAGTTCCTTTCTCAT